CACGTAGAAAAATAAACATCCGTTGGTTGTCGCGACCAACTGAGCGACGCTGTCGGCCATGCTGATTTGATCGTAAGAAGTGCGTAAGACAGCTTCGGAGCTGTCGTAGGATTTCGTCGTAACCTGCGCAAAACTTACGAAAATTTCGTTTCGTGAATACGGATTTGTTCTTAAGTTTTGTCTTACGCACATTTTTGGCGTAAGATCGTTTCGTGAATCTGGCCTCAGTTCCTGAGATATCACTGGGATGAGCAGCCACGGCAGAGAAAAAAAATCCTTTTTGAGCTAATGGCGGTTGAAATTTAGACAAACTTTCTGCATTAGAGTGACCCTGCATGGTAGCTGGAAGTGTCCTTGTGCACTTTCTTCTTGTTCCGCCTCTCTGTCTTCTCTTGCTGCCGTTTGCTGGCCTTGTGCATGCGCTGGGCATCTTTCTCGGCAGCTTGCTGGAGGGCTAGATGGGCTGGCTGGAGTCCCACTGAGACCGAGATCTCTCTTGTAGCCTTGTAGCAGCCGGCGTTGAATCTGAGTACTGCTTCATGCAGTGTCGTTTCAACAGCAATCAGCGATGCATGCTGTTCCTTGGGCATCGGGGACCATGGAACAGAGTGGAAAGACTAGGATGCATTCTGTGTCTTTGCCCCCAAGCAGTGTTAAAGAAGAGAAGCCTGTAATAGACGTTGGTAGACAGGCAGCATAGCTGCAGCGACATAGTCTGGGAGCTTGTGCTTATGCTGGGGCTGTGGCTCACCCTTTGCCTCGGCAGCTCTATGCCGGCACCAGGATTGAGCTCCCTCCGGGCAAAGTTCATGGTGGGGTTCCTGGTCAGTCGACGCAACGTGATGGTATATGGCCATTACTGCACGCTGCATCGTAGCCACGTCCTTCGAGTTGTTTCGTAGGGCCTAGCCATAGTAGTCACTCAGCTTGTCGATGAGGGCCTTTGTCAGCCTTCCCTTGCTCCTTGTTGCTCTTTTGGACGACGTTGCACAGTGCCATCCCCATCCTCTTCTGAACGTGATTGAGGCACTCCTCCTTCACGATAGGCACTAGCCCATAGACATTCTCTTCCACGAGTGCAGAGAAGGTCCTGCTGTCCCATCGGAGACGAGTGTCGTGTAACTCAAGTCGTGCTTTGAGAGAGACCGGTTGAAAAGCATCGGAGCTGCATCGACCTCCATCCTTCCAGATTTGGCGTCTCTGTTCCTCTGGCAGATGTGATGCATGTGCCAGCTGCTGTGTGCTTCATCTCCAGGCTTGGGTCCTATCTGGCATCCCAGGCATAGGTTCGATAGAACTACAGCGTCCAAGATAAGGCCTGTATGGTACTCGATCACTGATTCCACACCGATGTGGGATCTGTACCCACGCAATAGACTACTTCCATAAAGCCCTGCATGCAACACGGCGCGCGTTGCATGCAGGGAACTAGTGGCCAGGGAGGAAGGTGGCATGGCTTCGGTTTCGATCGACACGTCAACAAGGGATCGTTTTCTGGTCCCGAGAGCGTCATTTGTGGTCTCTAAACTAACCTAAATTGCCAGACCTCGAAGTTTTAGCACAAGCCTGAGACGTATAGCTTGTCTTAACACATGTTTGTTGTATTTTTGTACTTGAGCCTTCCTGTTAGCGTTCCAATCGAGGTATGTGGACGAGCCAGTGCTGGGAATCTCGACGCTGCAAAGCTCAGGGATCTTGCTTGTGAACGAATCAACAAGCTGTAGCAACCAATTAGTACGCATACATCGAGCTCGCGCCTTTACATTAGTGTTGTTGATCAGGAAGTTTGTTTGCTTTGTGCATCCATAGACGAAATATTACGTTTTGCAATTACTGTTTTTCTTAATATGCCTGAGTATGCGAGGTAAACCTTGGAGGCGCCACTGAAAAGCTCAATTTAACACACCTCTTATCTCTTACTGACCCGCAGCACTGCACGAAGTGAAGTCCCCACCCGCTTGCTTTCCACTAATATTCAACATCGCGTATGCGCATAGAGTTATCCTGCAATGCAAATTCGCACATACAGACCGTTTTAAGAAAGAAAAAGTCAAGCACTTGTGTGAAGAATGTCGCACCGTTCGCCGGAAGTGCGCCGGACGGGCATGAACCCCTATGTCCGTCCGGCGCACGGTGCGACATACTTCACACAAGTGCTCGAACGAATTCAAAGCGCGTTTGACGGTTGCTAATGGCCATAATATTTGTTATGTGTTTGTTTCCTTTCTGCCTGAGTATGCCAAGATAATTTCAGACACACCGCTGAGGCACAGATCTTGAGCGTCAGTAAAAACTCGTGCAAAAAGGCTTAGCGAGGAGTAGGGGACGCTTGTTAGCTAGGGCCTCCGTCGTAGCTAGCCGATCTCAGCTTTTGCGAAAAGTTAATCTTCTATCAGCATAAAATTTTAGTGGGTGATATATGATGACACGAGGAAGACATCATAGTAATTTTGTGCAGTAGTGAGGTCGAATTTATTGCGTTTCCATAAAATTTTATGCGTAAACGCTGGGCTCAATTTTGATACCCTGTGAGGATGCGGCTTGCTTTTCGCCCAATAAAGTAACAAGAAATGGACGTTTGGCAAACAAAATACGTTCAGGGCTCAAGGTGACCAAATTTCAGTTGTAGTTCACTGGTACTAAACGGGATTATTGAAATTGAGCTCAAACATGCACTCGTGGGGTGAGGTTACAAAGCCACGACTTACTACGTTCGCATACGCACGCACAATATCCGGTGTTTCGGGAACCAAGGAAAGTGCCCCGGTCTTCGTTTTGTATCGCTCGATAATAAGTGTATTGTACGTTCGTGAAAAGTCAGATAACCGAAAAGGCAAGCAGCGCGTTCGGTCGCGGCGTGATAGCGTGAGATGAAGCTGCTCAGTCGAAACCAAAACTGAGTGGCCAACTAGTTCCCAGAGTGCATTGCGCGGTATTTCGCCGCGATGGGGCGCGTCGGTTTTGGAAGTAGTCCATTGTGCCATGTTCCATCGTACACCATAGTGATGTCCTTGCAGAAGCTTGTATCCATCTTCCTGTAAGCTGTCTTCACAGCAGCGGCTGAATCGGCATAAAACTTGTTTATGCTCAGGGCCTCTTGCTCCCTGAAGGCCTTCTTCAGGTGCTCCTGGAACATCTTGTGGTGGAGACCTCTGTGGGAGACATTCATGGCAGCCCAAAAATCGTTGAGAGCGGTCTGCCCCTTTCCAATCTGCTTTATAGCCATTATGGATCGGATGTTGACTTTGAAGGCCATTGAGTCTTGTTGGCGTGGTGAACTCCAGGAACTTGCAACAATACCACAAAGTGTGCGCATGACCTCGAGTTTTGTGGCCAGTCCCAGCTTGGTGCCCTCTTTTACAGTCCATCCAGCCCCCAAGCAATGCTTGCACACTGTGCAGGAGAGCAGGTTGCTCAAATGCCTTATCTGATCAATGAGGCAAAACTTCCCACCTTCGCTCGTAGCAGTGGCAGGTGTGGGATCGGGCTGCATGGCTTGAAGCTTCTTTTCGGTTGCTGGCATAGCGCCAAGTTCAGCTTGAACAGTCTCACGACGCTTTACTTCGATTTCTTCGCTCGTCAGGAAATCCGTCACGAGATGGGCGCTGGACGATGCACTCTGACTTCGCAGTAGGCGCCAGTTGAGCACTGGAGCCCGCGATCTCGGAAGAAACTGCAGCGGTCGATGTGCTGAAGACACCACGCACACTCGCAGCGACGGCTTCTTCTTCGGCGGTGACAGATTACTGGAAGCGTTGACGTGATGGGCATTGGTGGCACGCTGTGCAACAACTTTCAACTTCGCCATCCTGATCAGCTTCATGGAGCGCTTTCGCATGCCAAACGTGCGCGTTGTCTTGTATTTCGTTTTACGCATCGTGTGCGGTTACGAAATAGATGGGCAAGCAACGAGAAACTGCTCAAAGTTCAGCGGGAACGATCGTAAAGAAGGCGAAAAGCAAAGTGGAGCTAACAATGCGCGGGGTCAAGCAAGGAGACTACTGCCGTAGCAGACGACGTGACCGGCAGCAACGGGAGAAAACTGAGAAGAGGATGCGCGCCGCAACCAATAGTAGCCGCGTGCTCCCCCGCTCGCTTCGGGAGCGCTAGAAAACCACGAGCCTGACACCATTTTGAAAATCGGGAGAAGGAAGAGAAAGAACTGACGTTCAAAACAAGACAAAAATGTCGGCCGTCGGCCAAATAGAACGAGAGCGCCGATAGCTCAAACTTTCGGTTGATTTTGGCGCTTGACTGCTACTTGAAAGCTACCCAGGCCCCGTAAATATTTTGTTTTAAATATTTTCCCAGTGATTTGAGTTGTGATAATTACAGAGAAGGTAGATTAGAAGATATACAATCCAAAAATATGTTTTTAAAAAAATTGACTTTTTCGCGATTTTTCGGTTTTCAAGGCCCGCGTCCCCCCTTAACTGTCCCATGGAGGGAACCAACGTCGAGAGCTTTGAAGCCGCGCCAAACGGCAGCTGAACTCCCCTGTCCCAATGGAGCAAAGTGAAGTTGCGATCATCAAGGAAGCAGGCTCTTATTGGCTCTGGCGCGGCATAGCTGCAAGAGACTCCACCAGAGAAGCCACGGCGGCGCAGCGCACGCAGCAACTCTCAGGTCGTAAGAGGTGCGGGCCGCTCAGCCGAGCGCGGCCACTTTACGAGAGCCTCGGCAGTAGCGAATCGCGGCCATCCATGCGCCAGAGACCAACCAAGGGAGTGGAAGAACGACATTCATGCTTTCCCATTCACAACTCGTGGGAAGTGCTTAGGCCTCCTTTTAGCCTTTTTTCAAAAATGTTTTCTGAAATTGACTTTGGCGGTCACTTTATTTCATTATTTTGAGTTTATAAAAGCATTGAGTCCCACGGGCAGCTGTGGGGGATCTGATTTTGTTGGTTCGATTGGAAAATTGGTAGAATTGGATTTTGTAAAATTGAGTTTTCACTGTATATATGGTTGATGGTTTAAAAGTATATTTGATGCTCCCAGGTTTGCCTGTGTAGGCAAGCTGGCCGGAGGCCATCAGGCGGCCGTCATGTGCATGGCTGTGGACGACCCTGGCGTTGATTCCAGCCTCGTCGTGACGGGCTCAAAGGACCACTACATCAAGGCACGTTGGCGCGTCTCTATCTTTTCCTGCTGGAAGATGCGCCACTGGGCACCAATAACAACTTCTCGGATGAATTTTTCGGGAAATGATAATAAGACCATATGACGAAACATAGCATACCCTTTCCGTGCCCGTTGACCTTTGGGGGCTGTGGTGCCTGTTTGTTCAGATTGGGTTGTTCCTTTACTTGGCTGCAGGTGTTTGAGATTCCTGAGAGCGGGAATGGGGTGCTGACGCCCAAGATGAACCTGGAACCTCCCCACTACGACGGAATCCAGAGCTTGGCCCTTTGCAACGACTACCTGTTTTCCGGCTCCAGAGACTACTGCATCAAGAAGTGGGACCTGTCGAGCCAGTCGCACATTGTGGTGAGGCTTTCCTTGCACCAGTTCTTTGCTTCAGGGGCATCGCATAATGCCTAGTTCAAATTATACAAGTATTGAAAACATCATTCGGGTCAACTGGGAAAACAACAGGAGACAAGCAAGAAATGGAAGATAGGGACTTGACTAGATTAATTTCTGAAAAGCTGGAATTGGGCAGGCTGTTCCAGTCAACGATTGGGGGAAGATGCATTTGTGCTACGGGAGATTGCTCCCCCTGGCAGATGATCTGAGTGAGCCAAGCATTTTGTGAAAAAGCCAGAAGACCTGCTCAGATGAGATGAGCTCAGTTTTGCACTGCTTCAAGGTTGAAGATAGGTTGGATGAGGGTCCCAGACTGATGCCGCATGCTCGAGTTTTGATCAAACCAAGGTTTCAAACACCATTTTTTTTAGATATGATGGAGCGGACTTTAGGTTCCGTCTAATGAGTCGGAGGGGCGCAATTTATTTTAGACCAAGGGAGATCAATCTTTGAGTGATATAATTGCTGCGCCATTTGCGCCATGAATGCAAGTGTGCTACATGTCTCGGCAAAATGCCATTTTTGCTATAAAAACCGTAAAGTTCCGAAAGAATGCCTACCCAAAATGAAGAGATAAATGGTGAAAAACGTGGGGTGGGCTGTCTTGTGAGATGCCGCAGCAAAACTTTATCAAAAATTCATGATAAACACCCTTGCACTGGCTACAAACCACGTGACGTGGGAACTCTTACAGTATAGACCACTTTAGTGCAGGACTGGGTATAACGTGGCTTTTTTAAACTACTGGTCTGCCTCCCATGCAACTCCATGTAATTCCATACCGCTTAAAATGCAGGCGTGTGAAGGGAAATACCGGTTGTAGTGCGGTTTCTAGAACAGCATGCCGACCGACCGGCGCGGCAAGTCTTTCTGCGACCCCAGATAACGGCGCAAGTGGCACTTGCGGGGGCAACGATGCCAAGGAGGTTGTGCGAAGATGGAGAGGCGGGAAACGAATGATGACGCATGGAACTTAGGAAGCCCCAACGAGTCACCCCCCAAGTTTTTGGCCCTTTCAATGTCACCCCCTCGCTCAAGTAACGCGACACCAACCTCCTTCCTTACACTGTGTGCAAAACAAAGGCTGGATAGCTGGAGAGATTTAGCTTCTTGCAGCTTGCTAGCTTGCTCCACCTCTGTTGGGGTATCGTGCGGAAATCGACCGTCCGTCCCGATCTGTCGGTCTCCCAAGCCCAAGGTGGCCAAGAAACGACAAGTCCTGTCTCTGGAAACTAAACAAAGCATTGTCAAAGATGTCGAAAATGGCACGAAAAAATGACTGCATCTCCACGCGGTAAATGATGTTGATTGGGGCGAAGCTCTGGTGGTGCTGATGATACTGATTTTGTTCATAGGTAGTGCTGATGGTGCTGATGGTGCAAATTTTAACGCGATTATATACGCATTTCACCGCAGCGCCCTCTCCTGTATAGACGTTGAGCAGCTACAAGCAACGTCTCATCCATGACATCCCCAGCTCTTGAGTTCCTACCACATCTCACAGCCCCCTATTCGTCCTGCAGTCGTAGCCGAGTGGTTAAGGCGATGGACTAGAAATCCATTGAGGTCTCCCAGCACAGGTTCGAATCCTGTTGACTGCGCACACATTTTTTCTTTTTTTAAGAAGACAGATGGGATGGCAGTTGATGTGAGCACAGACGCCAGACGGACAAGGCTAGACCCCAAGGAGCTTTGCCCCTAGAAAGCTTTTGTTGGGGCTAAGTACAATGTTGCTGACACCCTGGTTTCTACTCTCTGGAAGAACCGAGAGCAGGTACGGAAGCAGCAAGATTCTGCGTCACTCTTAAAAAAGAGGTACGTCAAAGTATGAGGATGTCAACGAAGCCTTGTTTAGGTCGCAAAGTGTGAGCCAAGAACGTCCCCGTGAGTGACCCAATGCTACAAACAAAGGGTCCTTTGGAAATTTGTTTGAGCACAAAGGCCCCCTCAGTGGATGGATTCAGCGATTTAAAGACTACCACGGGATTAGCTGTAAAGTTTTCTCGGGCGAAAGTGGGGCAAGTCGACGACGCCAGCATCCAGGCGTGGTTTCGCGTTCATCTCAAGATGATGCTTTCCGTGTACTCGGACAAAGACATCCATAATGCTGGTGAAGCTGGTCTGTGCTAAAACATGCTTCTTGATCGCACTCTCGCGATGAGAGGTGAACCCTGTTCCGGCCACAGTCTCAAAGGAACGTGTCACGCTTTTGTTTTCTGGAAACATGGACGGCTGCGGCAAGCGGCGCTTGTTTATCATGGGAAATCAAAACGACCCCGTTGCTTCAAGAAGCGAGAATGTCTGCCTGTGATGTACACAGCAATGGCCTGGATGATCTGAGAGTTTTTGCTGGTTGGCCGAAAAGTTTCAGCCAACTAGCATCCTTATCCTGGACAACTGCAGCGCTCCCAATGTGCAGCCACAGTTCAACGCAGTCAAGTTCCTGCCGGCAAACACCACTGCTAAAAGCCCTCGATCAGGGCATCGTGGCTAGAGTCAAGGCCAGAAGCGCGAAAGAGTCGTCTTAACAAGAGGAGCCCGTCAAGGTGGACTTGAGGGGCGCCATCGACATGATCATTGCGTCCTGGTGGCAAGGAAAAGCCACAACCATCCAGAAGTGTTTTCGTAGGGTTTCTGTGCGATGCCGGGAATTTGGAGAACGCCGATCGGTGCAGTGATGCGATTGACGAGGCAATCAACTCGCACGACGTGTCCTTGTGGAAAACCACTTGGTTCCTGCAAATTTCAAAACTATGTAGAGGAGGATGACTCTTTTACCCGTGAGGAAGCTATTCTTGCAGCGGTGCGAGGTTCTGGGGCACCCGAAGGTGACTGGGATGATGTCAAAGAGAGCATGCCGCAAGTTTCAAGTAAAGACGCACTGGAATTCTTAGGGAAACTGTAGGTTCACTGTGAACCTTCTGTGGTGGGAGACTCCTGCTCCCACACCTTATGGCAATTGAAGTTCAATGAAATAAACAAAAGCATTGGAGAGCTCGGAGTTGATTATGTCATAGTTGCCCTTGTGGTACAAACATGTAATTTAGAAATACTCGTCGACCTTGGCAGTTTAATATCAAGAAAACAGTGAAGTGACTTGTGGTCGCTGATGCCATCCAGAAGAGATAAAGGTTTAACTAGATAAGGATCCATGATAAGTCCTGAAATGTTTGAACTATTTTCAGTCATCCTTGTAGGGAAAGAAGGCAACTGGGTGAGGTTCAAAGAGAAACACAAGTCAATAAAATCACCTCAGCCCCCCAAACTTGTAGTCTGAGTATTCGTCTAAACAAAAATCGCAAAAAAAAAAAAAGAAGAATAGGTTTGCTAGGATAACTCAGTGACATCATAGACAGATTGTAAGGAAGCAAGTCACTAAAATCGGGTAAAGGGTTGGGAGGACGGTAACATACTCCAATCAAAAAGGACAACTTAAGAACTCCCAAACAATCTCGAGAGCACCGGTAAACAAAACCTTCTGACTTGCGATACTAACAGCGAGGAGGACACAGTGACGAATTGCTGTGTCATCAGCATCACATGAACTAATGACAGATCACGTTTCGGCATTAGGCTACAAAACACTGATAAAACTTTGGGAACTCGCGATATCAGTCCCCCTATCTCAAGATTTCTTCTACAATTTCCGTCTAGGCATCGTATATAAACGTTTTACGACCAATACGCCTCGCAAGTGGGCTCATTTTCGTCTTCTGCGCATGAGAAAGGAAGTAGCGGTGGCGTCAGAACGCCGAGCCCTCATTGGCTGATCGCGACCCCCTATCTCAGCGTCGTCTGCTCCTTTGCAACGTCGTTGACGTCGTCTGCTCGCAACATTGCCTGCGTCTGTCTTACCATTCCTGCGAACTGCAGGTCTTTACGAGCGAGCTCGACTTGGCCTTTCAGAGAGGGCAGACGAAATAACTCGAGCGGTACGTTGTTTTTGTCTAACAACTAGCCGACGCGCATCAAGGAGGGAAATCGAAGGACTCACTGGCGAGGTGTCCCGAGGCGCCGAGGTTTGTTTGCTAAGAACCGAGAGTGAGGGTGGTTAGTCCACAAGTTCCCTCCCAAACACTTTTTCCCTCCTTTCGTGTGCGGCGAGACCACTCATTCTTTAACGGCGTCGGCGGGTTGGCGCAGTTAACGTCGTCTGCTTTACGTCTGCTAGTCAAAGCGATGGCTGCTTTACCTCTCCTGCGTCTGTCGGTGATTCACGACTTTTTCACCGGCGAGAGTCACCGTTTCCTCGGGAAACAAGGAGATAACAAGAGGAAGAAATTGACCTCTTAATCTAAAACTGAGGTCAGCGATTAAAGTATAATACGGGAAGGGTTCACAAGGGTCGCGCGGGCATATTCCATTCAGCGCACCAGCCAGTCGTGGGCAGACGGTCGCCGAGTCGCGGAGTGCTAGGCCTAACTGCCGTGCTCACTTGGTCGCGTTCGGTAGAATCGTGGCCATTGGAGCTTTTCCCGGGTGTTTGTGGATCCAGCGTTCTTGTTCGTCATGGTCTGTTTCAAGTACTTTTTACTTTTTTCTTGCTGCTTGAAGTCTGGACGCGTGTGAAGCGCACGTAGAAAAATAAACGTCCGTGGGTCGTCGCGACCGCGATGCTGTCGGCCATGCTGATTTGATTGTAAGAAGTGCGTAAGACAGCTTCGGAGCTGTCGTAGGATTTCGTCGAAACCTGCGCAAAACTTACGAAAATTTCTTTCCGTGAATACGAATTGGTTCTCAAGCTTTGTCTTACGCACATTTAAGGCGTAAGATTGTTTCGTGAATCTGGCCTCTGCACTTCCGAAAGTCGCAGGAAAGGTGAGACAGACGCAGACGACGTTGCGAGCAGACGACGATGCAAAGGAGCAGACGACGCTCAGATAGGGGGTCGCAATCAGCCAATCAGGGCTCGGCGTTCTGACGTCACCGCTACCCCCTGCGCAAGAAGCAGACGAACTTGCCCTCCGCATATGAATCTTACCTTGTCAAAGCTTGAAAGGCATAGAATTTTATTGCCTTTTTCCAAAAAAGAGGAGGTTATGGCGCGCGATTCGGGTACTTTTACAAAGGTCCTCCGAAATAGAACTGCTCTTGAGGCGAGAGCTATTCTATAGAAGCTGACTTTTAGTTTTGAAAAATAAAATACAGCTTATTATGGGTCATTGTTTTTTTTTGGAAATGTGGCAATCCACGTTCAATGTCAGAATTTTATGAAGTAATACCAAGGTTCTCTTGGGCCTACTTTAGTACCTTATGTTCAGATATCGGCCATGACTCTCCTCGAACATCGGGTATGCCGTGAAAGAGCAAATTCCGATGGCGGGATTGGTTTTCCAGGTCATCAATCCGAGGTGACGCTCAACAAGTGGCCTGATAAGCGAGGGTACCTTGATTGCTACAAACCTTGGCTCTGAAAGTGCTCATGGTTCGTCCTCAAATGCCGCAATTTTCGTTTTAATGGCAGAAAGTGAGCCCTCTAACTGAGCCTGCTTGTCAAGAAGAGTTTTGATACCGCACTTGATTGAATTGTGATCTTCTTCAAGTTTAGAAGAATCGGCCTCAATGACAGTGGCAAGAATTTCATTCAGTTGGGGTTGCTTGTTAGTGTCTGGCTCTGGATTGGATTCAACATTGCTAGAGGGTTGTAACAATGCACGAATCACGCTCAAGGACATTATGCAGCAAAGCACACTTGGGCACGGGAGCACTAGAAGGCACAGGGTGCTAGATTTTTTAGTATAAAAGGATTAGCGTTTACATACCTAGTTGAATATAGTGGGATCAGGCGTCGCATTCGTAAGGAAGCTCCCGTGCCCCCTGACGGCGGTTAGCGCTCGGTATTTGTATCCACTGCTCAGCCCGATGACAACGAATCCGCTCCCTTGTACTGCTATGCTTGGCTTGGCTTGGCTTGGGTTGGCCACGGCCACTTGTTGCTAAAGGAAATTGGCTCTGTGGGCTTGGTGACTGGCTGACGTGGACGCAGTTCCGTGCTCGCGGAGCTGAAGATTGGAGGTGCATTCATTATGCGAGGAGAAAAAAAAGTCAAATATTGATGCCTGTTTTGGGGGGTGCATTCATATGTGAGTGCATTCATTATGCGAGTAAATACTGCATGTGCCCCTGCCAAGTCAAATTGAGTCGGTTAATATCGGTCACGATACATATTAATAAAACACAGTACACTCACTGACCAATGTTTTGGATGCCGATTTTTCGGACATTTTCGCCGAAGCGTCACTCACCCCATAGATTTATGTATACATTGACCGCGGACACCATAAAGCTTATTGCTCGATATTTCGGACATAATTTGCCCGATTTCCTCAGTTTACAGCCACAAAACAGCCGTCGCGATCGTGCAAGGCGAACTTAGTTGCCACATTTTGGTTTTTTGATTTTGCCCTGTAGCCTCGATACCACGTCTTACGCAATAAACAAGCTTGACTGATGCTAGAGTCAGGTTTTCCGGTTCCGCTCGATCCAACATGGCAGCGGCCTGCCCATTTTATGGTTCTTCCTGTTCTCCTGGTGGTTTGTGTTTTTCGAGTTGGACCACGAGAAGAGCGGCCATCTGACGCCATTCATATGGTTTCTGAGCGCGAAGGTTTTTTTTTGCCGACAAGCGTAGTATTGAAGTGGGCTTGGTGGACTAAAAGATGTCTTTAAACAGTGGCACCAACTTCAACTTCATTGTTTGTGCCAGTGAAGGTGTCGACAAAGCACAGCACAGTGATCAAGCGGATAAGAAAAAAGTGAAAAGTGAACAATATAAGACGGGAGTTGCACAAGAACTTAAAATTGACATTAAGCAAGTGGGAAGTGGCCAATATGCAGTGGAATGTGCATGGAAATTTGATATTTTTTTGGGCAGAAATTGATATTTTGGACCGCTCTATTATTCAAACCATTTCGGGGGTCCCTTCTAAGTTCGAAAAATGGGTCGGCGACTTAGTCAAACTTGACCGCATGGTTCAATGTTTGTTGTGATGCATACCAAGAACACATCCAAACGTATTATGAAGCTATGTGAGCATTCCACAAAAGTTTTCACACGGGCGTGCACAAAATAATTGCCGCCACAATTCGTAAGTATCTAAATTTTCTTCTCAAGCTGAACAAAGTTTTGCATATTGTTAGAATGTTGGTATTCACTTGCAGAATGGTTACAGAGTGTAAGACGAAATAAAAGGCAGCAGGCACAGTCGGCTGCCGCAATCGTGAGCAGAACCACGGTAGAACCTAGTGCCACTCAATTGGTAGACACAACCATGTACCTTTCAACGGTCACATGTGGTTGGTATGTGAGAGAGGGCGAGGAGGATAAGAAAGCGACATGGGAGCGTGGAAAACCCTCCCGTGATGGTGGTGTTCCAACAGATGGTTTGAGTCCCAGCTGTAATAGATGTCATTGATATCATTGAGCTGCTGTAGTCCACTTTCGGACATTGTGCATGTGGCTATGCCTAGGAACAACGAGGTTGCTTTCCTTGCCGAGGGGCCGAGTGCCGCAGAAACTGCTTGGGGCACCACGGACTACAATTTTGATGCTTTGGGGGAAACAACTGGTGGTGGCATGCCCTAAGAATGGTTTCCAATTTGAGAACATAGTTAATCTGAATGTCTTCATTAGCGGAGGCAAGCAAAAATCAACTTTACTTGGTGATTACCGAATAAAAACCATAGGGTTTCAGTGTTGGTTATTTTTTTTTATTTGAAGTATGCGTAATTCGTAGCGTTGACCTTTGAATTATCGAGAGTTGACTCTATCCAACGGGAATTGGGAGAATTGGCGATATTTTGGAATTTCGATTTTGTAGGTATCCCGGCCAAAAAATTGGTACGAGTGATTTCTCGGTGGGAAGGTGTTAATATGGGACAGTGGTCAACATGTCCCCTCTGCAGAACGTGGTCATGGTCAACTTATCCTGTGGGCGGAACACGTTCACGGTCTATTCGATTAAAACGATGGAGCTCCTTCAAACGAATGCTATTCGCACTCGGAGAGCAGCGTAAGCTCTTGCGCTGAAGCTTTGAACAAACTGTAGCGCCCTCATTTTGCGTAGTAGGAGCTCGCCTTTTTGGGCCTCGCACTACTTATGGCTGCATCGCTGAGCTTTTTTTCCCTGTGTACTGCTGAAGGGTGGGAAAGCGCCTTGCGACGGCCAAAATCAACTACCGTAAAATACCGGGCAAGCGCCCACTCAAAATTTTGAGATAATCATGAAAAAATGGGGGATGGGCACTTGTCTAGTCATCAATTGTACGTATGATTGTACTGTGCATATTTTCTCAGATCTTACAAATTTGGGTATGGGCGCTTATTGGGGTATGGGCGGATGCACGCTATTCTACAGTAGGTTCAGCACTGCCCGATTCATGCCACCACCGCTAGGGTATGCGTCTCTTACCTCTGGGTGGTGATAAAAAAACACAAAAATCGCAACAATTTTTTTTTTTTGGAACGCGTGAAATGGCGTTTTTTGGCTCATGCTTTTAGTATCTTAGCTAATTGACCCGTGCTTTGACGGTGTTTAAATTTTTTTTTTTGTATTTTCGTTGTGATTGCGTTTTGCACCAAAACAGGCTCGCTTCTGGATATGTGACAGTTTGAGATGCCCAAATTTGTACTATTCAACGCAAGTCCTAACAAGGGTTTTTCTGCAGCAGGAAACTCAGAAGGCCTATTTGCTGGGTGTTTGGGATCGCACGCCTTTTGATGATACATATTTGCCGAGATGATGGGTTCTCAAACTGGGTTCCTCCAGGGAACCCTAAGTAGAGGTGTAGTAGCAGATTTCAGCCTTATGCAGGATTATGAACAGTGAATGCTTCACTGTTTACAAGGTTCTATGAATGCTGAGACGGGGAGCTGCTCGCTCGGCTATCGAGAGCCTTTGGCAGCACACAGAATGCAAGATTAAGCAACTTTCAAATTGGCATAAAATGACCCCGGCATTATTTGTTGTGTAACCATCCTTTGGAGTCATTTTAAGAGTGTGTCGCTTGTCCAGTCCCTGAACCAGGCCCACAAGGACTGGATCTGCGCGCTCAGCTTCATGCCGAACCCCGGGGGCCCGCCCGTGCTGCTGAGCAGCTGCCGGGGCGGCATGCTGAAGCTGTGGAATGCCGACAACTGCTCCCTCGTTGGCCAACTCAGGGCCCACACGTCGCCCATCAACGCCATCGCCACCAACTCGTGTTGCGTCTTCACCGCCTCCAAGTGAGTTAAGCACGCTCGAGTGCCCAGCGCCATTTTCAGTGCATATCCAAAGCAAGGAACACAAACATTTCTAAACATGACGACGTGGGGTGGCCTTATACAGTCATGTCTTGTTTATATGGATACCATTTTTTGAGACAATACATGCATTTTTGTCTCGTTACTATGGACAGTGTTTTGGGGGAGTGGAAGTGTCCATAGTAATCATCCGTACTGCACTGGCTAAACTGCTCATCTTCAGTATCCCAGGCCATGCTGCTGAAAGAAGATTAAAATAATTACTGTAAACAAGGTTTTTTGCATTCGCCAGCTCAAATCGCCCATGAATCTTTGGTTTTTTGTGGGGTACTTTATGGCAGAAGATATGGAAAATGCCCCTGAGTAGACTGGCCAGCTTTTGTAAAGCAACTATATATTTTTGTTTGGAACTTTGTCCAAGTAATGTGCTTCCAACATTCTGCACAGCGGTAAAAATACCTATGGCAAAAAATACATAAAAAGATAAAAGGGCACACCTGAGAAACTCTAATATTAGCGGATGGGGAGACGAGGGACAGTGAGGATGGACCAAACCATTTAACGACTGCACAGTGGCACGGTCGTCCAATAGCTAATGTGACGTTTGCTGCTACGGTCATTAATACGAAAAAGAATTGTGTGCTGCTGTTCTGCGTGATAGAGAACACTGTGTGCTGCTGTCCTTTTTTCTAAAGGATCTTGAATGGTGCTATGTCTTTCTTCCTGCCACCAGGCGGCTTGTGCACCCTGACACCCTTCTTGAATTTCGGAGCCTTCACACCACTTTCCGTCTGTAGGCTTTGCTCTTCCACTGTGGGTCCACAACTCTCTTCCAAATAGCTCAGGCCATTTCAAGTGATAGTCTATCAGTGTCTATCACAAACTTTGTCCGGTGGTGCTCGAGCCAGTGGTTCAACAATATCCATGGCTACCTTGTGCCATGGCCTGTCTGGTAAAAGAGACAGAGTAACGTGCCATAAGTGCCGTCAGAGCTTCAGGTATGGCTTCTCTCGCAACAAAGCTTGTCAGCCACCGACAGTTCTTCCTGAATGTTTAAATGGAAGCAGTTGGGTGGCCAGCGACTTGCTTGAAGGCCATTCCTTATGGACGCATCCTGCAGAGTAGAGTCTGCTTGTTGCAGCTTGGAGACTATCTCCCTCCCTTGAGCTGCAATGCCTTCCACTACGTGACGATGCATCAGCCACGTTTGCTGGTACTTGGTGTCCAAGTTGTAATAAACCAATTGAAGACCATCTTGATATCTGCAAGGGCTGCCCTCCTGATCCCTTGGGTACCAATGTAGTGGCTCAGCTGCACACTCAGCACCCAACATGAGATAAAAGAAATAAAAACGGACATTCTCGGTGTGCGTGATACTCGCACGCCTCGAGACAGAGAACACCAGGAACTTGAGCCGACCGGTTGTTTTCTTGCTTTTTCTCTCCACAAGTGGTGACCTGGACAATTCTCCAAGTATGCAGCCAGCGGCCTCGACTCCAGCTCCAGTCGCGGTTTGGCTCCCGCCGTACTGGGACTGCTACCCGCGAGTTTTTTTGTGTACGTGTAAGTGTACGCCATGCTCTCCAGCTTAACTGCTCTCTAGGACCAGCTGAAGGCAGCCCTGAGAACTGAAGAACGTTCCCACTGGCAGCAACTGCTCTCCATGGGAAAACTCGGGGACCGACGTCCCTCACAGTTGCTGCGTCGAATCGCACAGCTTCTCTGAAAACCTTGTAATGCCATCACTGGCGTTCTACTCCGAAATGTGCCACCGAATGTCCAGGTGGTGCTTGCAGCAGCCCCTCAACCTTGCGGGACTAGCTGGTTTGGCTGACGCGGTCATTGAGGTCTGGGCCCCGCCCTCCACTTGCCGCCATGACCACTCGGGCGACGCCCCCAGGATGCTGCAGGACGTTCAGACCCCAAACATGTCCCACATTGACCAGCTCTGCCAAGGAACAAGTTGTCCTTGCTGCGACAAGACGCCGAGACTCGGTGCGTTCTTCCAGCCGTCGACGGCGCTCTACATCGCGCCAACCTGGCAGCTCGGGCAGAGATGATTCATCAGGCTTTTGCTACTACCACCGTTGTTTCGGTCCCAATGCGCACCGCTGCCAGCGCCCTTGCGCATGGCCGGAAAACCGGCCGGCCAACCGCTAGAGGCGATGAGTGGTCCGAGCCTACGAGAGAGTCGCCTCTTTCACGTGACGGACACCAGGAACCGTCTATTTGTCGACACAGGTACCGAGGTCAGCGCCGATCCCACGACACGTGCCGGCCGTTCACGTAACCCTATCTGCTTTCTACAAGCTGTGTGTCTATTCCTGTGTTTGTTCACCATCGCTAAATCTTGGCCTTCGACGAGTGTTTCAGTGGATATTCCTGGTGGCCGACGTCGGTCAAGCGATCCTTGGCCCTGACTTTCTTGAGCACCATTCGCTGCTAGTCGACATCAAGAGGAAACGCCTCTTCGACTTGATGACCCATCTCTACATACCCTCTTGAGTTTCCTCTCACTTACTCGACTTCCTGACTGGACCTTTCCAACTCAAGGAGTTCCCCCTCACTTACGTGAACTCCCGACTGGACCAAGCATGTTGAACGCCGCACCTCACATACAAACAACAGTTCCGCCAGTTTTCTTCCGTTCAGGAGCTCCGGAGAAGCTCCAAATTGCTCGGGATAATACTACCATCCTCCAGCAGTGGGACATCTCCGTTACACATGGTCTCCAAGAAGATTGCCGCACCCTGAACAAAAACTTTGTTCCAGACCGGTACCCGCTCCCCAGCATCCAGGATTTCACCGTCGATCTTTGAGGCATCTTCTCGGAGATTGACCTCACCCGAGGCTACCATCGAATTTCGATCGGTGAAGACGACATCCCCAAAACAGCTGTCAGTACGCCTTTATTTGAATCCCTTCGCATACCTTTTGGCCTTAGTAATGTGGTGCAATCATTGCAAAAATTCATGGACGTTGTGACGTGGGGTTAACCCTTTGTCTTCGCATACGTCGCTGACCTGCTAGTCGCGAGCTCATCCCCAGAAGAGCAAACTGCACACCTCCGTCTTCTCTTCGAACAACTCGCCAAGCATGGCATCATTATCAACGCCATGAAGAGCGATAGTTCAGGCGTTAAAGCTCTGCCTGCTGAAGTCAGCGCTATTCAAGACCTGAGCGGCACTCACCAAACTCTGCCAGTTCATTGGTCTCATGAACTTTTACAAATGCTTTATTCCGCTCTGTGCCAAGTTGCTTCAACCGCTTGACCCGCTCCTCGGCAAGGGTGGACGGTCTACTTCTTCCTTGGAATGAAGCAGCATTGGCAGAAACCACCCTTCTGCAGCATCTGATGCACAACACTCGGGCTTGAATTATGACTGATGACTACCGCTGCTGGAGCGGTACTTAAGCAAAGTATTGATGACCAGTGGCAACCACTCGCCTTCTTTTCAAAGAAGCCTTCACATACGTGCTACAGCGTGTTTGGCTGTGAGTTGCCGGCTTCATACTTAGCTGTTCGCCACTTCCGACACTTTGTTAAAGGAAGACCATTCACCATCTGGAGAGATCATAAGCCCCTGACCAATGCCATTTCCAATGCCAGATCTCACTACTCACCACAGGACATACGTCAGCTGGCCTTTCTGTCATAATTTACGAATGACATCCGACACGTCAGGTGTGTGGACAATGTGCCTGTCGACAGCTGCATTGACGCCGTTTTGCTACCACCGCTCTCCGACCCTGCAGGGCTCGCTCGTCTGCAAGTCAATGATCAGGAGCTCGAACACACGTTGTCATCAGGATGTCACCTTTCCAGGAAACGTCATTGTCACCTGCGATATGAATCCCTGCTCCTCTACGTTGAAGACTCTTTGATGCCACTCACTGCCTGTCACACCCGGACGTTGGGGCAATGCAGAAGCTCGTGACGAGCAAGTATGTGTGGCCTCACATCAAGGCAGACATCCGGGACACGCTCCTGCATCTCCTGTCAGCAAGCCAAGGTACATCCCCTGACCAGGACCTTTCTCCAACCCAGTTTGGCAAAGTTCATCTGGACTTGGTTGGACCTGTAGCATTCCGGACTGTTCACACCACGTACGGGTCAAGTATGGTACAAAACAGACGAGAAACGTAACTACCGTAAACTTTCGTTAGTTTGACCTCGGTTAATTTGACTTTTCGTTTCTGGCGTGGAGTAGCGCGGAGAACGCAGCACGTGGTCGGGCGCGGAGAAAGCGCGCGCTCCCAAAGCGCTTTTCTGTAGCATCGCGTGCAGTCCATTCTTGCGCGCCGGAAAGCCCGGGGTTCTTTTCCCTTTTTTTCTTTTGTTGTTTTTTTTCTCTGTCAACAACGGTCTGGCCGCTCGGCGCCAAAGTCAGCTCGTAAAACTTCCTGTTTTCGTTTTTTTTTTTTTTTTTTTGCTGTGCTTGATTTTTTGGGGACGTAACGTTTAGTTACGCTGCTCTCCGGAGCATGCTTTTGGACACGCGTTTTAAGCGCAGATGGCAGCAGGCCGTCCATGAGTACTTTGGACAATAAAAAAAAGTTCAATTTTAACTGTTTTTTTTTTCCTTTTTTTTATTCGATCATTCGGATAATTCGACCAAATTTCAAGGTCCGGTCGAGGTCGAGTTTACTGTAAAACAATTTACTTAATTGCAAAAGTCTGGAGCTGGGAGCTGGTGGCTGAGGTTGTTCCTTCTGTGCTCGGGCCCCTCGTTTTTCTCTCGAGTTGCTCCTCCTTCTTCTTTTCCAACCGATGGCCTCTCGGTTTTAGATGAACACGGGTGGTGAAAACCTCCGGCGGTCCTGCTGGGAATGCACCGCTACATACTCCCCCTCCAGTCAGGAGACAAGCTTCAGCGACGTCTCATGGCTGCTTGGGGAAAATTTGTGGGTGAGGTACAACAGCGAGTAGTGGCTTGCGTTGTAGGATCTTCGCTGTCTAAGCGCACTGGCCAGTAAATGTG